ATTATGAAGAAAAATTGGGCGATGGTGGGATACAAGATGCAACAAAAAATTATGTTGCAAAGTGTGGGCAAGGTGATTATGGTTGCAATGTTGTTTACTAATTGCTACTGTTGTTATCAGGGTGGAAATCAAATAAGTAGCTACTTCAACCTTACACCGCCATCTTTAGAGGAATATTTACAGCTACCAAATGATGGCAACTAGTAAATCGAATGTGTAAAAGTGTATTTTCAATTTTGCGGTGAAGCAAGTGACGGATGAGGTCCATCATGTCATCATTTCTCTTTCTTTCGTCCTCGCGTTGCTGGATTCTTTCCATCCTGTCCTTTTCGCTTTCCTGTAGCTCCATCTCAAATTTATACTTCTTAAACTCGAGTCCCTCGTGTTCCAACGCAATTTCGCGATCTTGAGATTCGAAAATAGCCTTTCGTTTGCGACTTGCCACGTCGCTGTCGGTGGAATCGTCGCCTTCATTGGACTTACGGCGACCCCGCATCATCGCTTGCTCCCGCACATATCCCGCTGCGGCCTCCTTTTCGGTGGCCTTGGCGGCCGTCGTTGCTCGTTCGGCTTGGCGTTTGTCGCTGGCCTCGTCAAAGAGTTGAATCAACTGATCCAGAAGCATGATCTTGCCTGTCTCGTCTTGTTCCACGCCGGAGAGGTACTTTGAGCTTTCTTGTAACTTCCTGTGGACCCGCAGCAATTGGTAGAAGCGGCTGGAGGCCTTCTTGCCGTCCAGCCCAATCCTGCCAAACCCATGAAATTGGCGGAGCTTGTTCGCCACCGCATCCCACGCCTTCGTTGTGTTCTTCGCTTCCTTGAAGGGCAGGTCAATGTTGACTTGAGTCAACAGACTTATGTCGTCAGCGTCGCTCCACCACTTGCGAGCCTGCTGGCTCTCAGTGACGTCGGTCGCAACCTCGTCATTCATGCCGGCGTCGTGCAAGACCAGTAGTGTTATTCGGATACAGCGGATAGTCACCTCGCCACAAATTCAGCGAGATTTGCAGCCGATACAACAAGTTTATGCAGGTCGGTTCTATATTTATTCAGTCATAGAGGATAGGATTTGGATAGAATAGAACTGGCGTTTGCGAAATCTGTCTATTGGCGGATGTCACTTCCATTTCAATACAACAAGCAAGTAAAGTTTCTTGGTTCTTTCGAATGTATCGATTCGATGTACAGAGAGAGTCCTGTTTGCTGGCGGGGGCTAAAGGTGCACTGTACACGTACTATTATAGTACGTTTAATATTACGTGGAGGAATACCTTGGTTACTTTGCGCAACACAAGCCACTCATCAGGCATGTTACAGATGTAGTTCGCATAACGGTACAGAAAAACCATGTCTCCAACGTGGCTTTTGCGGCGAGCTCTTTGAGGACGATGGTCGAGTCGACGACATATAGCCATCTGTTGGGGTTCACGTAGCTCTCCTCGCTGTTGACGTTGCGGATGAAAAGCCGACGCATGGTGTCAATACCTTGATCGGGCAGACCGGAAATGCACTCGCGAAGCGCCACGGATGTGTGAGCCGTAACACTGTTACACTGAAGGATCATTCGTATCTTCAAGTCGACCGGATCACGTGTAAACGCTCGCACACTCCCGCCTGAGTACGCATACAGCTCGTCGACCTCCAAGGTGCCAAACGCTCTGGCCATGGCTTGGATATCTGAAACGACCACGCAGGGACACCAACTAGCTTGTGATTGGAGTCTTCCGTCAGTCTGTGCTGCGCCGATGTTGATAGCAAGTTGCATGTGTTGAAGAAGTCCAGTTGGCCGCTTTCGAAGTTTGTTTGGCGGTAGCCATCACAACGATGAGGAACTTCAGGTTGTGTACATGCTCGGTCCGAAACGTTGCCCACAGTGCCTCCGTGTGGTGCGGGCGACAGTCTGGATATGCCGTGACTTCCTTGCCGCGAAAACACAGCAGAACGTGCGGGGACGACGCTCGTCCTGCATGTTTGAGGGTCCGCGCAAGGTAGATGTTGTAGGCGTGATGGGTGGCCAAGTAGCAGCAAAACAGCACAAGGAGCGCCGATTTACCAACGCCAGGCGACCCCACGAGAACGTACGCGTTGTTGGGAGGGGAACTTCCGATGTAGTTGTTGCATAGGATGCCCCACACCATCTTCACTTCTTGGCGGACGAACAACGATGACAGAAAGTCACCGTAGAGCTGGAGGAGTTGAGAAAGCTCGGCTGTGGACTGGACCTCGCCTTCTCCTACGTCGTTGAGGTCGACAACGGAGGTTTGGAGCATGACGAACACTTGCTTGGACGGACGGACGTCGCCCCATTCCTTGGGCGGAACAACCACCAAGACATGGATGTTTCCGCGACTGCCTTCGGTAGGAACGCCCAACGCGCGAATTTCGTACGAGCCAATCATTTGTGGCTTTTCGACCTTTTTCACGACATTAGTCGCCACGCCCCTTTTTAAGGCTTCGACAACGCCGCTGTTTTGTTGCAACCAGTTGTCATCGTCGTTCTTGGCCAGAAAGAGCTTCAGGTCGTCTGGGTGTACCGTGTACTCCATCTGCTGGGCGAGCAGCTCTTTCAATGTTTGCACACATTCGGTGTTGTTGATCTCAATTGCGAAGTCGCGGCCGTTGTTCACCTGCAAGCATTCCAGTGTCACCATCGTTCGGCGTGGTCGTAAATTGGAAATGAACTCCATAGCTCTTTGGACATCAGTAGTCTTAGAATTAATACAATTTCCCTGTCTTAAAAAACACAATTCATCGCTTGACAGCACGAAGGCTGTGGTTGCTACTCAGAATTGTTTACTCTGACTCAATGATGGTCAAGTGGAAAGGCCAGAAAATGGCCCAACGGATGATCAACCAGGTAGTGCCCAGCTGTTGGAACCGATGGCTGTACGGCTTCCAACATCGAAACAATTTCAAAATGGATTGACTGCACGGCGAGGCCGCCTCTAAACTCATCTTATGTGTGGTTGAAAATGGTCGAAAGGAGCTTCGACAATAAAAAAAACTGTTCGAGAAACATTCATAACATGGACGAGGCCACGGTGTTCTACAATCGACAACCCAGCACGGCCATTGCCAAGAAGGCACAGCCTGGTGTCAAAGAGGATATGTCGATTGTACGCTGAACAGACGTCGCGGAAAGCAGCTGTTATGTTACCAATGGTGTGATACTCCAGTACTACTATGTACTACGTAGTAGTACTTACGTACTAGTATCTTAATATGTAATGAGTGAGCTAATTGAATACTACTATTAATGGTACGTAGTATTTTGACGATATTTCAAGTTGCATAATACTTCGAAGTACTTCGAAGTAAGCATCAAACTATCGTTAAAGCAATAGTACAGCTCATTAGTTGGAATTGGTTCGATCATTTTATGCTGTCGTTCTACTTGAACAATATCATACGATCATATGGATTGTTGGTTAATTGAGTTTGGATTATCATTTTTAAGACATTTCGGCGAGGGCCGACACTAGAACCACATGTTATGGAACCGCTTCGCCAATTGTAACGCGCCTGCTCGACCAGGGCGGTGTGTAATCTTCGGTTTTTACTTCACTCAACGCTTTATACCTCGTCCTTCGACCGATCTTCTTCGAAGTTCGGTCCTCGTCGGAGTCGCAGGTTAGAGCATCCCCACCCCCTGACGCTAAACCCAAAACTCTAAAACCAGATCTAAAGTGGGATCACGCAAAATAATTTAGCGTTTTTTCACACCGGCTGCCAAACAGCGATTGACATTGTGAACTCTATTCGCATGGATACCAAGCCGCAGAATCGCCTGGATAAAAGTAGTAAAGTACAGAGAACCGAGTAGGAACTCGCGCACAGTGGTATTTTGAAATATATGGGGAATTGTATGCGAATGCGCAAGTTGTGATTCCGAGTACGAATTATAGTTTTGCAATCAGATCAATCTGATTAATTTTATTATATCCAATCATACAATTTACAATTTTTTTACGAGCATACTATTGGTTAAAATATAAAATATGAAAAAATGCTATTGGTTGACGTCGGAATTTATGAATGCTCCATGGAAAAAAAATAGTGTCGATACCACTGTGCGCGAGTTCCTACTCGGTTCTCTGTAGTTCAGGGCAAATCATGCCAACAAGTCAGTGAATGAACTACTAGCAGGGAATATCGCTTAGAAAGTCGCATCTGTAGTAGCCCTCCGTTGCAGGTACTAGTGCGGTTGCGACCTATAATCGCGTCTACGCTTACATGCACTTGAAAACGAACAGATACACAATATTTGATTGATAGTCTACGCATGCGTTAACAGAAACCCAAAAGTCACAATAGAGGCCGTTGGTGCAGTGCTGGGGCAACGCATGCAGACGCTGGTTCCACGCGACCTGGTCGTCCTTGTATCTGTTCAGGCGCCAACTTTCAGTGTGCTTCCTACGAGAATCGCAATAAGGTTAACATCGTCGGTCGGCGAGGTTGGCACATGCCAAAGGACGACTGCCGCCATGGCCAATGCTGACAGTCATCCTTCACTATACAAACGTCACATGCAGTCGCGTCGATGAGATACACAAGATAGGACTCATGGACTCACTCTAACTTAGCGTTGAGCGGCGCTTAGCGCTATATGGGGGCGCGAGGACACGCACCTGTACTTGGCCGACATGGCGTCATGCCATTGCAACCAGGTAGTACTAAACGTGTTGGGAATTGTATGCAAATGAAAATGTATTGCTGATTGTATGCTGGCCAGAACTCTAACCAATCGGTCAAATCTGACGAATAATCTGACTTTAGCGCGCCGGATAGCGTCGACGCTAGAATTTAGCGCCACGAGTGGGGATGCTCTTATAGGGCTACTGGGGAAAAGATGTATCCGGATGTAATAATTCCCTCATTGAAACAGTGTGTCGTGTTCAAAACAACAGTGGAACTGTTTTACAGTGTTAATGAGGGAGGGGATTATTCCAGAAAACCAACAATCCATATGAGGAGGGAGGGAATAGCTCAGGTGGTATAACATCGGTTAGGTCGTGGGTTCGATCCCCGGCTTCCCCGGATTATTTCCGCAAGTATTTATCCGTCCCTCCCTGGGGAATCCGGATAACAAGGGCCGCGTACCGCCAGTGCGATACATTTGGTTCGCTAACGCCGAGATTGACAAGCTGTTCCTGACTGATTCAAAATTCATAGGATGTACTCCCTCCGATCCAAAAAAGTTGCGCGACTTTGAGGAGGGTTTACATGACACATCATTAAATTTGTATGAGACTTCAGGCACGGTTTTCGTCCATCCTCGAGTTGAATTTCTGTGCTCCAATTGGATGGTTCTGTGACACACATTCTGTAACGTTACAACCTTGAATCTCAATATCTATTAAAATATAGGGTGTGCGGGGTACTTTTTTTCGAGGGGGGATTTGTGAAATTCCGAAGTCGCGCAACCTTTTTGGATCGGAGGGAGTACACGCTTCTCTATTTACCCATAATGCACGGATTACGTATTATCCATATGAATCGACAAGCTCTGTACCATTAATTTTGACCAATTTAGTGTCGACACCATTTCCTAACTTGTGTCGGCGTAACTTCGCTGCCTTTTTTGTCCCAACCTTCGTTCGCAAAACCTTTTGAATGGTTTCGATGCATCGTACAACATCTTCAATGTTCCGCAGCGTCAACGATGTGCTGCTTGATAAGCCGGTTGCCCTCCTCGAGCAATTACTTTGAATGACGCCAGCGTATCTATTTATATTATTTATAAATGATTGACATTTGAATTTTGGCAACGCACCGTCCACGATTTGTTTCGGTTGGCCATCCACTCTGGGCTAGCTTTGTTAGGTGGGAAAAGATCGTTCGCAGCTTATTCTCCGTATGCCCCAAAAACTTCCTCGCATTGATGCGATTATGCTCTTCGAGCACCAATGCGATATCCAGTTCGCGATTGCCGGTGGCCTCCCGCCGGGTCAGTCCAATGCTACGGGATAATCGGCTGTTCGTTCGCTACGGCCCTCTCCGTCCAAAATACTTCCAGTTCCCATGAGTAAGCGGGGGCTGAATTGATATTGACACTTTTTATAGTGGCAGTAAGCGTGCAAGACGGGTAGGAACGATAGGTTGGGCTTTTCCATACCATGTAGCTACATTGTCGAGATTAGTTTCGAGCAATACAGTACTCGAGTCACTTCATTGCTGAAACAAAAATTCTACCTTCCAATGACCTTCTAGCTTGCAGACAATATCGTAGCCGAACTATATTTGCCTTTCTGTGTGACTGGATTTCAATGATTGCAGGAACGTGTCTGCATATACATGTCGTTCCCCATGCTCAACATCTACGAATGCGTTTAGGATTGGGCTAACTCGATTGACTGCCTACCTATCACCGATAGGACAATTTCATGTATACAGTCCAAGTGCACAATCATGTTCACGTCGTTCTGCGGCAGATCCTTTAAAACCTTTCCGGCTTGTAGCTGTGATGCACATTCCGACATTGTGGTTGCCTTGCGCTTGGCCGAACCATTATCTGGCATTGGTTCCATGAAAAATCCGCCGGGCCAACCAAATGAGCCACAGTCACCAGCACTACCATGGCGGACTGATAGCTTCTTCGCCGAAGCAAATCCGTCCATTGTCTACAGCACATAGTATACAACACTACGCCACAATGTAATGTATTATACCGCTATAATTGGCCCTGCAGAAGTAGCTCCGTCCCCGGTGCATCCAGGACAAACAGGCTTGAGGAACGGCTCGTCTGCCTTGACAACAAACTCACGACGCCGCAAGAGGTATGGCACGGCTGCAAATTGTCGTGACGCATCGATAAATTGGCCATACGCAACATCCTTTATGTTGGTCGAGAAGTTGCCCAGGAAAACGTCGAAGATGGTTTGATACGTCACGCATACGTCACGCCCTTGCTTCGAAACGCGATAGAATGCTCCATCAATTGAATTGAAAACGCATGGGCTATATTGTATGTTAAATTCAATTCGAATTAATTAATTACCTTACTTGGATTTTCCAATTGATTTGGCATGAGGCCCAATTCGACAAGTTGGTCGCCAACCGGGTGGGCGTGGCATCCCCGCAGCGATAGCTTTTCAATTCCGCCCATGGTGTACACACTGATAATTACTGGACGGCTGAAACCAGTGCAGCAAACAGGGGGTAGTTGACCGTCAAATCCTTCCACAATGTGACCAGTAGCTAGCCTTGTATGAACGCCAACATGTTGATAGCACAAGCCCGATGCATGACGTGTCGAAAGGGGCACATGTCCTTCGACATCCAACCTCTAACCAATCAGAGGTCTCCCCGGCCAAGCTCAGTACACCCAGGTTAATTGACTACCGTACCGTACACAATAACTACCCTGGGATATTTCGTCCAGGGTAGCAAAACTTAAGCCGAATGAGTTCGTTATGGGTGCCGAATGAGTTCGTTATGGGTGCCGAATGAGTTCGTTATGGGTAGTTATTTCGACCGCCATAGTATCGAGGGTACCTTATTTAAGACCGAAATTTAATACTATATTTTGTATACCCATAAAATTTTATAGTTATATTGAAAATCATAAGTTCATACTTGGTCGAAAACATTTAGGACCCGTCTGGATACCACTTTTATTGAGAAATATCGCGATAATTTTGCAAAATATTCAAGTATCTCAGCGACTTCAATTTGGCGCGTCTGGATGCCATTTCTTGACCAAGTTATATTTTATAATTTTATCAGAAATATCGTGAAAACCACAAGAAATAATATTCTACTCATGAGTACAATATTTCGACGATATTGACAGTGCGCGTTGAATTGACAGGGCATTTCGGAATGAGAAAGGCCATCGTGATTGCCTTCCTACATCGATGGCTCATCCGCCGCCGCCTAACCCAGGAACTCTTCGCCAGACAGATGGAGTACCACTACATCGCCTTCGTCCACAAGACACCAAAGAGGACGTCCATCCTCAGTGGTCCTCTCTGGGTGGACGAATTCTCTGCGCTATCCTCTGATTGGCTGTTCATTTCCGAACTTTCTTTTATTCTATGGCATCCAGGCACACCACCCAAAATCATTCTTGGATCTTGAAACCCAAGAATTTCGTGCAATATCGAAAATGTCTTTTATTCAATATTCGAATATCTCATAATATTGGTGGGTGGCATCCAGACGGGCCCTTAAATATTTTGATTAGAACATCTAAGGTAACAAACGTTACCACACGAAAACGTAGCGTAGTGGTTAAGGGGCCTTACTCTAAGTCTGGAGGTTGCGGGTTCTAATCCCCCCAGTGCCATTTTTTTACTTTTTTGGTTATGTTTTGGACATCCTCACATATCCATCAACAAAATTGTCGTGGCACATCGTCGATAACGATCTCCTATCCCGAAAGGCATTAAACAAGCAACTCCTTTTTTGTAAAGTTAGCCGAGCTGACGCACTCAACATAGTCGAACAAAATAGTGTTCTCATGCAATGACGACATGTGTGCATCAAAGGCAGAAGTCGATCCACACATAGGATGCTGACCGCAGGTTTTCCTTGACGTTCTCCTTGTTGATTGCATCGAAGGCATCTTCAATGAGAACAATGAGTACAGCGCGGTCGATGCGAAACACGTCGCCTGGTGAGAGTGCCACGCGTTGCTCCCATCGATGTATGCCATATTTTCTTCGAATTTTCTCCTTGAGTGGCCGATTGATTGCAATATCACCCACTTGGGGTATTGACGTCATGCCTTCGGCAACAAAGTCTACCAAAATGTCCTCCCCCGCCTTGGTTGAAAGCCAGTTGTGAACAATGTCGCCATAGTGAGTTTGTGATCGGTCGACAATGACACATACGACGTAATTATTTCCTTGCATCAAGTTATCAAGAGCACTTACCGATTTCTTCACCCGGATACAGTGTTTTAAGCCATACCAGGAAGATGGTAAATATGTACTGAGTCATCCAGTGCGTTGCATTGAAGACAACGATACTTTTCTTGTACGATGTCCATTCTTGCATCAGCTTCGCACCGAAGTCACCAGTGTCCACGACAAATGGTAAAAGCAGTCGCGAGGATACACTTCACAAGCCACGACAAGAGTTACACCCTTCTTTTCGTCGTCAATGGGGTTGACAGAACCAACACGCTTTGTGCCCGTTGGCACAAGCAACTATTTGTTTGTCATGTGGAACCTATGCACGGGTTCCATTTTACTACAGACTCGAAACAATTGATGATGTATAATCGACTTACATGATAAAGGTCTCGTCCATAGCGACGACTCTGTCCATGTCCCTAATTCGATCCCGGATTCGCTTCGAATCGATGGCTGATCGAGGCTTCCTGACCGAGTACTTGATACGTTGCAGAAGCCTCCGCAGCGAAAGACGCCATGCTTCAAGGCTGTCCAACATCACTATGAAGGCATCCGACTTCCTATCCTCGTAGCATTAAGCATACGCATTGACATACTAAGTAATTTACCACTCATGTGCTGACAAAGCACTGTACACATCCAGCTTCGTCGTGTTGGATTTCCTCGCTCAAAGCACGTCACAACATAGGACTCAACCCATGCTTCTTGTTCAGGGAAGACAGGTTTCCTTCCTAGCTTTGCCACGCTACCCACGACCCGCTTTGTGGTTTGAGTAACCAGCTGAGTGCACTTGTTGGAATGCACACGCGACGTTATTTTTTGCTGGCTCAAGGCTGCAGTCCTCTTCAAAGTCGACTATGAATATTATTTATAGTGTTAGTTGTATTATCCATTTGGCTGAATATATATTGTCCATGAAGTCCATGGATGTGTTATGGATTTACCATGAATGATGGTGAAGTGTCATTCGACGGAAGTGGATAATACGGACGAAGATGCGATCAGGGATGCGCTGTTCCGAAAGTTGAGCTCCAACATCGATGTTGCATTTCCTTAACATGGAAATTGATGCCAGGATGCCCCTTAGTGTCATTTCCTTGACGATGTCAAAACCATTTCGCTATTTGCTTCGGCTTGAGACACCCGCGAATCGTCCCTTCTTTGGCATAGCTTTCGAACAACTTCACAGTCAACAACATGCACTTGTCGGCCAAGGTTGAATGCAAGTAGTAGGCGATGATAACGGATCGGGCTGTGCCAAGTCAACTCGGGAACAGTTTTCCTTCAACTTGGCGACCGGGAGGTGGACTTCGTTCGCTTCGATAGACGCGATGACGTCTTCCAGCACAGACAGCACAACTTGATCAACTTCGAAGGCGATTAACTTGCGCATGTGATCGACTTTGGCCTCTTCGATGCGTAGCGCCTCGCTCCGACCTTACATCAATTTTGACTTAAAGGTTGGTGGGGCTTGGAGCGCTTGAGTGTACCGCATCATGATGTCAGTCCTCTCGGCGTTTTCCTTGCCGAGCCTTCGAGACCGTGTTGAATGCACTGCCTCGGGTCGCTTCACAGGTCGCTTCACAGTTTCTGGTTTCTTGCTCCATGACGGGGGTGCGCTGAGAGTTAGTTGAGTGTAAACGCGTTTCTTCTTGGGCTGCAGTGATAGTATCGCTCCCGTGTACACTTGCAGTAGGTCCTGCGCGACCTGTTATAGGCTGCAACCGCGCGGCCACAACCACGCTCGAGCTCGCAGGTCTTGGCAGCAACCGCAGGCTCTCAGGTCTTCGTTGAGCCGAGAAAGGCAGACACTGCACGGCGATCAAACTCGACTTCGCAGGGCATGGGTGATCTGGCCAAGGCTGTAGCCATGGGGCCACAACCACGCATGAAGCCGCAGGTCTTGGGCTAGCTGGAAATGGCTGCAGCCGAGGAGTTGGAGGTCTCTGATCCGTCCTCGTACTGGTAGGTCTTGGACGCTCTGTCACAGGCTGCAGCTACGGGTCCACGGACATGAAGTGGTGGCGTGGCACTAAGGTGCTGAAGTGGTTTAAGTGTAGCCAGTGGTTACTGGTATTCGGCTCTCGAAATTTGTGAAAATGGACAAACTACTCTGGTGCGTTGACGAAGTTGACGTTGTGGGCGAAACATGACAATGCCTTGACCACACTGAACACCGAGAGGCCTTTATCCGCCATGTCATACCATTGACGTATGCATACGAGGTGATTTTGACGCCAACGAGGAGTGCGACCAAACACATTTCATAGTTGCCGCTCCAAGAACCGTTGTGCGCCACTTGTTTCCGATAAAAGCCCCCTTGAACATCTTGAGTACGTCTAATACCAAGCGGGACCAACGTGGTGACAAAGTCATCTCGGCAATACATCGTCGCAACTCGTGGTGAGTTCGCATTGGCAAGATGCCAGGGGCAACGCGGCTGTGGAAAAGGTATGCTCAGCACCAGGAACGTCCACAAACTTGAAGAAGTTGCCGTCAAAGGACACCCAGATGCCATCGTCGCCACTACCAATGGGATCGCTGGCAACGACACCACCACCATCGTCACCGCCAATAGGCTCGCCGCGGCTGTTTATAGGATCGCTAACACCACCACTCTGCTCATCGCAGCTGCCACAGCCACCATCGCCACCACTTGGACGATCGCTGACACCGCTGCTGCCAATGGGATCATCACCACCATCGCCAATGGGCCGGCAGACCCCAGCACCACCACCACTCGGCTCTTCGCTGCTGCCAATGGGATCGATGACACCGCCTCCATCCCAACCACTTGGAAGAACGTCACTGCCACCATCGCCACCACTCGGAACAACGCCAACATTGCCACTGGGATCAACACTGCCACGAATGGACACACAAAAGCCACTATGCTCGACACCTCAGAGGTCCGTGCTATGCATCGTAAATGCAGGATTGATTGACCTGCACTGAAGTGGAGAACGAACAAGGAGCCTTGGTAGGGGCGTGTATAGCTTGTCAAAAGTTTGAAATTTTAAATCACCACCTATATTTGGACGTCAATTTCGACAATAAGAAAAAAAACAAGACTTATGTGGGATCGAACCATGGATATCTGGGCTAAACCCAACGTCAAACCACTGAGCTGCAAAGCACATATAATTCCATGGCCAAAGTTGTCTTGCGGTTGCAAGTACACGTGCGCGATGGGGTCAACATTCGACAATATAGCATGAACGTTGAACTAGTATGACGCCAGCATCAACCTCGTATCGCCAGGGTGGAGTAACGTACCACAAATGAAGTCCTGCGGTGAAGGGACACATACGCTTGGCCCAACATTCGACAACATAGTAGCGACATCGAACATGTATGTGACTAGCGCACGCTGGGGCCACATTACACAAGGGGAGTCGACGCAACGTCAACCTTGCATCGCCACGGTAGCGTGGGGTGAGACCACTGAAGTTATCCTGCTGGTGACGAGACAGCAGTGGCAACGGACGTCTCGCATCGCCACGGCAGAATGCAGTAGTGCAACCAAAGTTGTCTTGCCGCAAGGAACCACTCGTGCTGGGGCGTACGATCGAAGGCGGCAGCGAGTTCATGCAAGCTACCAGGTTCAACACTAGCTCCGTTCAACCAGGGTTTCGCAACCATGCTCCCCCCCGTAGAGTAGAACTCATCGGCACACATCTGCTCACCAAAGTGATGGACCGAAACCCGTCTCCTGCATAGCAGTCAAACTGACAGTCCAAACACAGTGGTTGCTACTAGGCAGGATAGGTGTTGAACGGTGCCTCGGGTTGGCAATGAATGCCTTGTGGTCAAATCGCTCCCATGGTTACTAATTACGAACATTAGAACAATTCAATGTCAGATAGGTAGTACTCATACCTGAGTTGTTGCATTCGTGGTAGCTCACATGCTGTGAGCACTAGGCCAATTTCAAAATGAGGAATGCAATTTTATGGCGACTCAATATCGTTCCTTGCAGTCAAAGCGACTTATCGTTCAGCTGTACTATGTACTATAATGCTGGTACATTCCCCATGTAAGGTTAGACTGACATAACCAAACATTTTGAATGTACAGTACAATAGACAGTACATACCTAAGATTTCATGACCAGGCGAACAACCTTTTTACGAAACTAGGAGTCGCCGTTTCGGCGCTTCAAAGTATGGTTACTTTATATTAAATGAATATTTTATGAAAGAAAAAGAAAAACCGTTTCGTCCGATACATTTTCGGTTGGAGACGGTAAATAGTGAATAACGTGATCGACCAGTGATGTGCCGATTTTTTTCTTTCGTGAATTCCTCGTCAAGTATTTATCCTTTGGCGATGTGGTGGACGTAGCCTGAAAGAGCTCGTCAAGATCTGTCACATACACCTAAACACAATGGATTTAGACAGTTCACGATGACGTAAATAATTTCGCAAGTTGCAAAATTTTACATTGATGACCAGTGATGTGCCGAATTTTATACTTCAAGTAAGTATGGATTCGGGTTGTGTAAAAAACAGACGAGCAGACTGGAATTTATAAAATGATAAAGGAATATTATATTTGAACAGGCATAAGATATTGCCGAACTGTACTGCACTTTCTGTCTTATTCGGACACTCAACCGTACCACGTGGCAATGTTAAGCAGCTGGGTCAAATACCCACATGTTTTGGAAGTGTCCTATCAAGAGGGACGAGGAAAGAACCAAACGTAGATAAGTGGTACAGTATGTAGAACATACTAGTAGATGAGCGAGGATAACGTAGGCGAGCGGTGGAATAGTGCCGAACATAAACCAGCCAACATGTACAGTACATCTTATCCCTGTGTTTATCGACCTCGTACATCTTATCCCTGTGTTTATCGACCTCGTCAAAGCGGCCATGGTTGTACGTCGGCACGATGCACACTACAGCATATGGGGATGGTGCAAGGTCAAAAACTGCACGCATTATTTCTACTACAGTACACAGGGTTGTTGATATGCGTAAACATTGCGTGCACTACAGTACTGTGTAGGTGGTCCAGAAGACCTGCAACAACAAACAGCGGTAGTTCTGCTTACCGGTATTCCCCGAAGGATTTTCAGGGAAATTGTATTTGAAATTTCGTGTGGATAATCACTCTACTGATAATGGGCTTTGGGTAGGACTGTCTGAACGGCTGCTCTCAGGGTGTCGTCAGTGTACCGCGTTCGAGGCGACATTTGGATGTCAATTAAATATAATAATGTTTCCCACCATAAATTTTTACAAGATTATTGGCACGAGAGGTTCTGTTTTGTCCAATAATACAGCTCGAACGATTTAATTGGACGAAATAAATCGGCACATCACTGGTCGGTCACGCTATTTCTGTTTTTCGATAAATGTTCAACCGTTCGATAATAATAATGTTCGTATAAAAGTAAAGTGCTCTCTCGAGTCATTCAAATCAATTTTCATCTCGACATGACCACCCCGACCTGTCCACTGCCAATACATGTGGACTGATTGTATTCACCCGTGCAGTCTCGACGCCTCCCCGCGACTCTACTGCGATTTTTATCAATGCATGGCACGCTACGAAAGCTACATGGAACGCGGCGTACTTTTACGCAAACGACTGGAAGTTCTAAAGCGCCGCCACGACAGCAACACCGACTATCCCACCGGACCTTGCAAGTTGCGTAAGCGCCCACGCGTGGTGGTTCGCGAAGACTTCGTACTCTTTAGCGCTGATCTGCGCGACGACTTTGTGCTTGAGGAACAAGACTAAGACTGGATGTAACTACAGTAGTTAATCATTCATATTCATTTTTCTTTTTGAGTTGATATAGTAGTACATTTGTTTGCACATTCAGCATAATACGGTATTGTACTGAATTCACAAAGGTAGATATTTCGACCGCCAATTCTGGCAGGGTAGAAAATTTAAGCCGCCTTCGGCGGCAAGGGTAGTTATTCTGACCGCGAAGTACCCAGGGGAGATATTAAGCCCCTGTAGTTATTGTGTACGGTACGGTATTGGGTGACCCGAAGGCAACTGCTCGGGTGAAAGCGACAGCGTTGAAGATGTTACGGATCGATAGAGCTTATTACAGTTAGTTACTGAAATAGCATGAGCCAATCAAAATCGATTTACCTCTTTTTTCATGTTTAGAAGAAAGGGTCAAGGGCCTATTTTTGGTATAGTGAGTTGCGTAAAAAATCGTAGAAAAAGAGATTAAAAAGTAGGAAACTAGCACTTGGAACTACTTTTTCATTTGCTAAAAATGTCTACGTGGAATAGGCTCTTACTATTTGTTGTTGGATAGAAATCTTAACCTACGGCTAGACTGCTAATTATCTCGACCCCGAACTCATCACCTTGATTTTAGACTTCTTCGCTTGCCTTCGACTCGCCTACTTAAACTACACGGTACGTGAAGTTCACACATATACACTTCACACAGTGAAGTGTATGTGTGCTGATGGTGGCAAGGGATACAGTAGAATAATAATGCACACGATTGGAATGAACATCCATGCCCATAACGCAGGCTGTAGAGTGAATCTGTGGCAGCACAATGGCGCGTTCAACTGGCCAGAGGTAGTTCTTTAATGTAGTATATGTGCGAAGTGTATGTGTGCCCTGCAAGTGCTCGAAATGGATGGGGTGTAGGGTTTTCAAGCGTGCTTTTTGGGGTATTTACCTGTACTCGTGTCGCGTGTTTTGAACCATTTTTGGGGGGCTAACGCGTGATTGGGGTTTTCACGCTTGCTGGGGTACTTGCGCATGCTTTTATCGACCGACTGACATGAAAATCATGTTGCTGATCCAATTCCAGTCCTTCTTCCACGAGTCCCAGGCCCGTACACACAGACACGGTTACACCTCTTCGTGGATGTGCCAACGACATCATGTCACGCTACCACTACATACATTGTCGTGTTTCCCGGGCAGCAACGACAGCAGAACACAGTTGAAGAGAGAGGCACTTGATTAGCCAGTGGTGAATTCCAAACTGACTGCTACGAGGATCTTTTTTTGTCACACACTAAATAACGAAATACACACAGAAACGACCGAAAAAAACACAAATTTTAACGAAAAACACACACGACCCAATAACACAATATAAATCCCGAATTCCACACAAACTTCGCCGAGCACAACACACAATTCACCGAATTCCACACAAAAAATGCCTAATCCACACCAACATTCCTGAACAGTTAGGACGGAAATAG